CACACACACACACACACACACACACACACACACACACACACACACACACACACACACAGACACACGCCACACACACACAACAGCAATGTTTTGGCCACAGCATTTCTAAATTGTGGAATCATACTTGTGACATTTCCTGGTCTTCTCTAGTCCTCAACTTTTATGTAAGAACATTATTGTTAATTCTATGTTTGCATTTGTAGATTTACAGTATGGTTAAATACAGGCTAGATCACAGGTGGATAAATCGTGAAGTCTGATTTTCTAATCACCAAAAATGAGAAATCTACAACATGCAGTTCCACACTACACCACCTGAGGGAGAAAGAACACCAGCTAAAAAAAATACAGGTGGCACCATAGAGCTTTTTATCAATGGACACACAATAATCATACATATGTATGGATTACAATGTGATGTTTTAATACATGCGTTCATTGTGTGATTATTTGAGACAGAGTTTCTCTAAGCAGTACCTCTTCACACATATATTAGAATCACATGAGGGTGCTTGTGAAAACATTAATTACAAGGCCTCCTTATATCAAAAAATATAATTTTATCAAATAGTTTAGGTGCTTAATATACAACTGATATGGGAGATAAACTACTAAAAACCTCTCGGGACCAGCTAGATTAGACCACATACAGAAATGAACGAATGTATATAATTATTGCCTGTAATAACTCATGTAGGGGTGAGTCATCAATTGAAATAGCATAAAGCTATAAATTAAAGAAACATATCTTCTTTTAAAACATATTATGAATATTAACCAAACAATTTACAATAGTCTATTCTATAGAAGAAATTATCCCCGTGAGTGTTTTTAGCAGTGTTATATATACATTTAGGTGATATTGTTTAGTATTATTGCTCTCTGGCCTGAGTATTGGTTGCTACTACAGAAATCACGACACCATATAATGCCTTTATCACCCTCAGGTTAAGAGATGCACAAAGCCAGCTGGACACGGTGGCTTATGCCTGTAATCCCAGCACTTTAGGAGGCCGAGGCAGGAGGATTGCTTACAGGCGTTCAAGACCAGTCTAGGCAACATAGTGAGACTTTGTCTCCACCATAAAAAAAAAATCAAAAAATTAGCTGAACATGGTGGTGTGTACCTGTAGTACCGTCCCAGATACTCAGGAGGCTGAGGCAGAAGAATCAATCACCTGAGCCCAGGAGGTCAAGGTCATGGTGAGCCATGGTTGTGCCACTGCACTCCAGCCTGGGTGACAGAGTGAGACCCCAACATAAAACAGAGTGTGAGAGAGAGATGCACAAAGCCACAGAGTTTTTACAACGACTTGAAATGTAAGCCAGCCTCTAATTTCTGGTATGTCCACATAAGAAGGCAAGGACCCAGTACCCGGTGAGATGCTCTCTGAGTTTCCCAGAACCGAATACTAATTTTGCTAAATTTCATTCTCATTGGACTCTCAGGACAAATTACCCTGTCAAACATCTCAACTTGAAAATGTCCCTCTTAACTTGTGGCTTTGACCTAACCTGGCCCTCTTCTTACATGCCTGTGGTCATATTTGGCATTTCCTTTTTCCCTTCTCTTCCTTTCCACCCTCCACTTTCTCATCACATGTGTCCTGTAGCCTGGCTTTTCTAGAAACTAGCTCTGGGTCCACAGGGATCTACAGATGAGCATGTCACCTCCCACCTGTCTCCCTTCTGTTTGGCAACTGGCACCAACACTCAACTTCAGCCAGAATCCCGAGGGTCCTAGGAATTTCTCCGTTTTTTTGTGTGTTTTTTTTTTCACAATTTTTTGTTATGGAGATGCAGGGTACAAGTGAGGATTAACTACAAAAGTCGGCTCCATGTAGGTGAATTTCAGGCTTCTAACTGACGTTGGCTGACCCAGTAGTGGATCAGGTATCCTTTGTGTTGTCACGTACCCCCTACCCTTCGCCCTCCCTCCCTCCCTCCCCTAGCAGTGGCCAACAACTGCCAATCCCTCCGTTGTGCTAACGTGACCAATGTTCAAGGCCCACCTATGAGTGAGCACCTGCGGTACTCCATTCTTTGTTTCTGTGATAGATCACTTAGGATGGTGGCCTCCAACTCCATCAACTTGCTGTGAAGGCCATGACTTTGTTCTTTTGTATGGCTGCATAATACTCCATCAAGTATATGTACCACATTTTCTTTATCCACTCCACTTATGAGGGACTGTAGGGTTAGTTCCATGTTTTTGCTATTGTGAATTGTGCAGCAGTAAACATGCGTAGGCAGGTGTCTTTTCTGTAGAACGATTGATGTTACGCCAAGTGTTCTCCCAGGAGAGGGATTGCTGGATTGTATGGAAGGTCAATTTTTAGTTCTTTTAGGAATCGCCACACTTCTGTCCATAGAGGTTTACGAACTTGCACTTCCACCAACAGTGTAGAAGCAGTCGCTTTTCTCTGCGCTCATACCAACGTCCGTTGTTTTTGGATTTATCAATGATGGCCATCCTTCCCGGAGTTAGGTGGTATCTCATTGTAATTTTGATTCTTATTTCTCTGATGATTAGTGAGGTTAACCAGTCTTTCATTTGTCTGTGGCTACTTGTATGTCACCTTTTGAGAAGTGTCTGTTTATGTCCTCTGCCCACTTTTTAATGGAGTCCCCCCCCAACCCCTTCACTTCATTTAAGTTCCTTGTAGATCCTGCATGTTAGACCTTTGCTGGATGCATAATTTCCAATTTTTTCCCCATTCTGTGGGTTGTCTCTTTAATCCCTTGATGGTTTCTTTTGCTGTGCAAAAGTTTTTCAGCTTGATGAGGTCCCAGTTGTCTATCTCAGCTTTTATGGCGTTTGTTTTTAGGGACTTAGTCAAGAATTCATTGCCTACTCTGATGTGCACAAGGGTGTTTCCTACTTTTTCTTCTAGGATTCTTATAGTTTGAGGCTTTAAATTTAGGTGTTTGATCCATTTCGTGTTGATTTTTTTATACGGTGATATGTAGGTATCCAGTTTCATTCTTCTGCCTGTGGTCAGCCAGTTTTCCCAGCACCATTTGCTAAATATAGTCTCCTTTCCCCGTTGTTTGTTATTGGTGGCTTTGTAGAAGATAAGTTGGTTGAGAGGCCGTGTTTTTGCTTCCGAAATCTCTGTCCTGTTTCACTGACCTATATATGCCTATTCCATTACTAGTACC